TTATAACCAAAACCAGATAGACCACAAAAAATTACCAGCCCAAATTCCTCATGAACATAGATGTAAAAATTCTTAAGTGATATATATATAATATTTTGTTCAAAATAATAATGGCAACAATGCAAGAGGACTTCACAGAGTTCATGGAAAATAGAATTAAAGTATGAGGTTATTTTGGTGCAGAAAAAAAAGGAAATTTATGCATAGTATTTTCATTAAAGTGCATTTTCCACGAACTTTTTGAATACTTCTGGTAAATTCAGTAATTATTGGAATGGAGTAGTCACTGGGGCAAGGACAAAGGCTACGCATGTGCCCAACAACAGGGGCTGTCATTCACCAAGGATGATAAAACTACTCCTGTTACTAATGCAAAACAGCATAGTCCTTCAAGGAGATAAACCGACCTCTTGGTATCAGTCTGCATTGGACCCCTTGTATCTGAAAGGAGCAGAGGTTCATCTTGACCAGACTTGACACTTATTTCAGTCACAGGTTTGCTTTTCCTGGTTGCAGAGCTTTGGCTAGCATCAAATCTGAGTATTTATTTTATTGCCACAGAGTACCACTCATCATCATGTTAAACCAAGGGACTCACTTTATAGGAAATGCAGTGCAACAGTGGACACATAGCAATGAAATCCACAGGTCCTATGACATGTTGACTTAAGTCTGAAAGCACAATGGAAAACCTGTTGAAGATTCCTCTGAGGGGCCAGCTTTGACACGGTAACCAGTGAGAGGTGGTGCCAGTAATCCAGTTTGTGCATGTACTCATTATAGGGTATGGTATCTTAGAAAGAGCACACGGGTCCAGTAAACCATGAGTCCAGTTGTTCTTACCATAACTCCGAGTTATCTACACTATAATTTGTACATTCCATTCCCACAATTTTGAACTCTGTGAATTTAGTGCTATTTTGGCTCCAGAGGAAGAATACTACCACCCGTGGGCAAAGCAAGAGTCCATTAAATTTCTTTATTTTTTTTTTTAACTTTATTTATTTAAAAACTTTATTGGACCAGAGAGGGACAGAGTGAGAGACAGAGAGAGAGAGAAAGTGAGAAAGCAAGCCACCAGGTTCAGGACTTGAACCACGGTCGGCCATGTGGGAGTCCAATGCCCTTAACCACCATACCACCTGCAGGCCCCCAAGTCTCATTAAATTTCAAACTATGTGTCTCACTCAGTCATGGTGGGCTCCTCATGCTGAAAGACCAACAATCAAGAAAAGGAATTACCACCCATGACTAGTCTGATCCTCAGAAGGAGGCAGAGCTTCAGGAAGAGTTGGGAAAGAGCATGTAATACACTTGAGTGCCTCTTGGTACTTCTTCACTCAGTTTGGAAGATAGAATAAGTGCAGCTACCACATCCTGAGACAGGTATGGTGAGCGGGGTTCAATCCTCTCAGGGCTGAGAATCTGGGTCATCCCACCAGGTAAGCTGCCTATATAAGCAGAGATGCTAACCGAGGATGAGGGAAATCTAGGTTGGATAGTTGAGGGAGATGATGAGCACCACTTGTGTCCTTGAGACCAGCTGCAGTGGCAGGGGCTGTGATTGTCTCACTTTCGAGTTTCCCTTAGGAAGAGAGGTCCATTAGAGCCCCAAATTAGCTACTCCCAGAACTTATACAAACCAGAGAATCTAAGTAATGTGATGAACTATAGTGGAAGCTATGGGGCACTACCCAGATTGCCCTTCAAAATGCCATGAACCACCCGGGAACCAGCAGTTAGCGTAATGGCTATGTCGCTGGACTACCACGTAGTCGACCGTGGTTCGTGTCCCGGACCCGGTGGCTTAAAACTCACGCCGGGCACATGTGCGTGCGTGCCCAAGATCCCGAGAGGAGAATGGAGGAGAAGGGATTGCGGTGTGACCATCCTCCCTGGGGGGTGATTTCTCGCTTTCTGTCTCTATGTCTCTCTCTGTCTGTCTGGCGAGCACACGCGCCCTACAGTGAAAATCTCTCAAAAAAAAAAAAATAAATAAATAAATAAAAAATGCCATGAACCACCCCTCAGTCCCACACTTTAGACCTGAAGCACTCCTCTAGGTGCTGGGAGTGTTGACATCTGACAGTTTGTAGCTGGGTTCTTCCTCCCAGTGATTGTCCTTGGCTCAAGAGCACCACTTTACCCAAGGTCATCTCTCCTTCCTGAGGACAGCTCATGCCCAGTCATGAGAAGCCAATAATGAGAAGCTTTAAAGGCCCAACTTCCGGGACCAACAGATGGCATAATGGTTACATTGCTAGACTCCCACATAGTTCCAGACCCAACTCTTGCCAGGTGCATGTGTGTATGTGTGCAAAATCCTGAGAGGACAATGGAGAAGGGATTGTGGTATGGCTATCCCGCCAGGATGTGATTTCTCATTTTCTGTCTCTCTGGTGAGCACATAAGCCCTATAGCAAAAAATCAGAAGGAAAAAAAATAAGGGCCCAATGTCCTTGTCTCAATTTGAGATATCTGCACTGGACTAGCCACCGTAGCTCCAGAGCTGGCCCTGGGGGCAGCTGAGGCCTTTGCTGTGACTGCATCACAGCTCAACTTTTCTCTTCCCCCCCTGACTTCTTCCCTCCCTTCCCTTTTATCCTCTAGGATGTGGAAAGCACCCTAATTAATTTCTTGTATGTAAGTCTCAGATTCAGTCTACTTCTTGGGCAAACCCATCTGCACCAGTCTCAATAGTTGGACACACCCTTCCTAATATCCTTTCTTATTTTAACATACCTAAGCTATCTTTAAGGGAAAGTCTCATCAATGTCTTCTGTTCATTAGGGGCATTAGGCTCCGCTTTTCATCTTTTAACTATATCACTAGAAAGTAAGAACTTACCAATGAGCTTTCTACACTGTCACATGGGTTTCTTTGGTATGCTTCCTACTTCTTCTTCATTGGGACCATTTGTGATAGCCCAGAGAAAAGTACATTTTGTTTTTAGTTCTAATTCTTTAGCTGTGTTTCCTCACCTAAGAAAATGTGTCTACAAATTTTTCTTTGAATTTTTTTGTGTGTTCTATTCGATTATTGGGCAAGTCATGATGCATTTTTGCATAGAAATAGAGAAAAATTCATCATAACTTTCTCAACAACCTAATACTTTTGTAAAAATTAGGATACATGTCAGACCCTGCCACTGTATCATCAACCTCTCTTAAAATTCAATTGTCAGTTTAGGCCGGTTCTAGTCACTTTACCCTTCATTCTTCAGAGTAGATGTCAATTGAGAAGCAAATACATTATTTACTGCACTAAGAGATTCTTCCTAGCAGTGAATGAGATTCAGAAATATTCTAGAACCCCTTTCCCTTTCTTAGGATGGATGTGCCCTCAGAGCACCCCTTTAATTACTATGCTGCAGCCTTCACAGTTGACCGCATGATGTGGCCAGCATGACTGCTGGGCTTCAGCCTGGAGTTTTGGTTTTTACTTCTACCCTCTGCTGGGCCAAGTGCCAAGGCTGAGTCCAGTCCAATTGGCTGAGGTCCTAAGCCTTTTCCCATTTCTGCCAGCATTTTTTTGTTTCTGGTATTTCTACCTTGATCCATATGTTGATCCCCGGGCCAAGACTCTGGTCAACAGGATTGCTTCCCAGAATGCCCCACATGTCTCCTTGCTCTCAAATAAGACCCTTCATGCTGATGCTGGCCCAGCTTGTACGTGCGCCCACGACAACTGCACCTGAATACACATAAGACCTGGAAACTGAACTGTGAGAATCTGCGGCCCTGATGAGTTTCCCTGCTCTGTGCCAGCCACCTGAGCAAAATCCTTTCTCACAGCAAACACCCACATACCCATCATTTCAGCGAGTACAATCAGTTTGACAAATTAGTCCCTGCTAATGAGAATTAAGCCCAGAATAGTAGTTAGGATTTGATCCATCACCCTCTGAGGGTAAAATTGCTGGCAAAGTAAGTGAAACATTTTCCAGATTTTGAGCATTTATCGCAATGGGACTCCGTGTGAAGATTTTAATTTAGGTTTAGTTGTGACCAAATGTCTTACCTCTAATAGTCTTGCTGCCTATTATTGAAACATTCTAGATTATACTATTTTCTCACTATTATTTATATTTTCTCTAACTTCAGATTTGTAGATATTCAAGAGTAAGTATCTTCTTGAATATCCAAGCAAGAGGCTTGTTTTATAACAGAAAAAAAGTATAGCAACACATACACAAGCCAAAGTGGAATGGTTTACTGGGATTTATAAAATAAAAGAACTAATTATACCACAGGCACTCAATCATATATCAGAGGGGGGGAAAATCAAGTACGCAGAACAGAATTTTTCTAAGAATTAGTAGGTAGATAGTGGCTTGTAACTAAGCAGTAATAAAATGACTAAGGTTATATTATAGTAGTCTAATAACTAGACTTGCCAAGGACTAAGTAGCTTATAATATTACTAGACATTTCTCTACAATTTCCTAAATGAAGGTCTTACATTTGTAAATATTTACTTGAAATCATTAGGGTAATCTCTGAGGCAAATTATACTTGGGTCAATATTAAATTTCATTTTTATCCTGTAGCTGAGGTGTATTCACTGGCCCTGGATAACCCACAATTCGATAATTCACACACAGAGAATCATTTGCATGTATGATGCCAAAGAATGGTCAAAAGTGTACAATTTACCACCACGGAAAGGCAACCCTATACTTTAGAACAGTGTATTTCTTGAGCCTAGGAAGTTAGTAAGAGGCCACAGTTTTCCTTCGAACCAAGGACTACGTGGAAAGCAATAGCTAAGTGAGCTGCTGGCAGATTCCACCTCCTCACTCTCGAGCAATGATTTGAATACATGAAGTAAGGTCAAAAAAGCAATAGGGGAACCACATTTATGTTTGTCCTAAGTTGTCCCAAGTCCAGTTTAACGGATGTCCACCTGTGCAAGACAAATGGTGGGTGGACTCAGGTTTCAAGGCCTTCTATCTCACCTTACCTACTCCAGGTCTGCTTTTGAGAAGTAAAAACCAAAACTCACTTTATAATCATCTTTAATTGAGCTTCAGATCTGGAAACAGATCTAGACAAGTTAGGGGAGAAGAGAAGGGATTAGACAGCCGATGTCCTCCAAGTGAAGGTTTCATAAGAGAGAAGCTGGGAACCCAGCGAGTCATTAACGTCTTCACCGACTCTAATAAAGGTTGGTCTTTTTCATGATTCGCAGAAACTCATCCTCGTTCACTTCGCCGTCTCCATCCCGATCAGCTTCATCAATCATTTCCTGCAGTTCCTCGTCGGTGAGGTTTTCCCCTAGCTCGTTGGCCACACGCTTTAGGTTTTTGAAAGAGATCTTCCCGGTTTCATCGTCATCAAAGAGCTTGAACGCCTTCAGGATTTCTTCCTTAGTGTCTTTCTCGGACATCTTCTGAGTCATCACGGCCAGGAAGTCATTGAAGCTGATCTTCCCTGTGCCTTCCTTATCCACTTCGGAGATCATTTTCTTCATCTCTTCCTTCCTAGGTTCGAAACCCAGCGCTCTCATGGCCACCTTCAACTCCTTTACGTCGATGGTCCCACTTCCATCGGCATCGAAAAGGTCAAACGCTTCCCGGACTTCTTGCTTCTGATCTTCAGTAAGCTCAGGTTTGGGTCCCATCTTTCTCTTCTGACTGGCGGAGGCCACAGCTGGCTTTTTGACACTGGAAGCCATCCTGAGGCGGTTGTTACCTTAACGATTCCGCAGCCAGCACTGCGCTTGCGCAGGCGCCCCCACCTGGAGCAGCGCGGGCCTCGCCTCATTCATTTCCACTCGCCACACCACTCGCCCGTCCTGCAAGCCCCATCGAACCACGCCCACCTCATCTTGTTTATATTATAAGCCACAGTTCCCTGGGTTTACTACCCAGTTTCCAGGAATTGATACCTGAGCTGGCAAGAACCGCTTGTAATCACAGATGTCTTCTGTAATTCACTGGCGTGTGCAGGTCTTTCCAGGTCGTTTGATAGCATCCACTGGACGTTTGATAGATTAGCGGGTTCTTCCTCTCTCCTTTTCCACACTAATTAAAACACCCTTTTGGTCTGAAGTTGCCTACCAGGACATTAGAATAAATCAAGGTTGAATTTGATCACCTGGCATTCGATGTGAGTAAGGAGAAGCAAGACAGAATATTAAAAGTCACACCGTGTGTTCAATTTGATATAAATGGAAAAGAGATAAAATGGGGAAAGTTACATATAAAATGTGTAGAAGTTCGTCTCCTGATGTTCCATTCAACAATAATAAAATTTTTCTGGCACGTTCTCAAACATGAAATGTAATATCCAAATGTATGATTTATTTTCAGTGTTTCAGTGTTGCATACTCAGTATAATTACACTTGAGTAATGGTCCTAATTTCATTCGCTAGGCTTTTTGATTTGGAAAGAGGGAGTTGAAATACTGCATTCTGGTATTCTGATGTATTTTTTTCAAACCCTGGTAGCCTATTACTCAGGCTGTTTATCATCTAATCAGGGCTGTGCTGAAACCTACCTATGGTAGCCCTCCTTTGGCAGTGGATGTGGGAGGAGATGGAGCAGGGCATGTTGGAACTCAAAATTGCCTCTTAGGAATAGAAGGCTCCTCCTGTAAACTAGAGGGGGGGAAAATGGGAGCTTCTCAAATGAAAAGAAAGAAAAAGTTACCAAATCAGCCCCTAAAGCAATTGCCTTTAGAATGACTTGCTCTGTATTTCCCTAAACAGTTTTTAAAAATTATTTATTTAAGGGAACCAGCAGTTAGCGTAATGGCTATGTCGCTGGATTCCCACGTAGTCGACCGCGGTTCGTGTCCCGGACCCGGTGGCTTAAAACTCACGCCGGCGCGTGTGCGTGCGTGCCCAAGATTCCAAAAAAAAAAAATATATATATATATATATATATATATATTTAACTTCATAGTTGCTATTTTTTTTTTTTTAATTTGCTACAGGGCATGTGCGAGATAGGAAAAATGAGAAAACTGGTCACTAGGTCCGGGACTGGAATAGCAGCCGGCCACATGGGAGTCTAGTTCCTCAATCACCATGCCACCTGCTGGGCCCGACTTTAAACAGTCTTTGAAAAGAAAGAAAACTGACTTTATTTTTAAAGCATTCTTCTCCCCCTCAAAACAGAGCCTCAGTTTATTACTACTCAATCACAGATGGCACTTTGAAGAGTTTTTGTTCTTATTTTTTATCACCAGCACCTAAAATGGTCCTTGACACATAATAGGTATACTAATAAATATTCATTGAATAAACAAAAGACAGTTGAGTTGGTCTTAAAATACCTGAACCATCCAAGTAAGACAAGCAACCAAATGATGCTAGGAACGTTTTGTTTTTTTGTTTTTGTTTTAAAATTTTGCCATTGGGCTCATGTGCTTGCCAGAGACAGAGAGAAAGAGACAGAAAGAGAAAGAGAGAAAGCACCCCTTATGGGGCATAGTCATGATATGATCCCCTTTCCTCCATTTCTCCCTCCTGTTGGGATTTGGAGCATGCACACACACATGCACCTGGTATGTTTTTCAAGCCACTGGATCTGGGATTTGAACTGTGCATTGGCCATGTGGGATCCAGCCACCTTTACCACCACACCACTGGCTGGTCCATTAAGAATATTTTACAAATTGGGTTATTTTGTTTATTTGTTTGAATTAGTGATCAGGAGCCAAATGGCGATGCACTAGTAACCCAATGCCCCACAGTGCTGCACCTACATGGGAAGGTCCCAGGTTTGCCTCCCAAGGTCTCTGTACACATGCGTGCATGTTCCTATATCCAGGCTGGCTAAGACTGGGGATGGGTCACAGTGCGAAGACTATTGAGTGTGCCTCTGTTTCTCAGAAGAAATCATCTTTTTTTTTTTTTTTTTGAGTTTTTCTGCTATAGGGCACACGCGCTTGCCAGAAAGACACAGAGAGACAGAGAGACAGAAAGCGAGAAATCACCCCCCAGGGGGGATGGTCACGCTGCAATCCCTTCCCCTCCATTCTCCTCTTGGGATCTTGGGCACATACGCACACGTGCCCAGTGTGAGTTTAAGCCACCGGGTCCAGAACTCGAACCACACGCAGTCGACTACATGGGAATTCAGTGACATAGCCATTAAGCTAACTGCTGGTCCCAGAAGAAATCATCTTTAAAAATAAATAAATGAATAGATTAGTGACCAGATATTGTTTCCATGTTTTGCCTAATTAGCCCTATCTCACTACCTGACCCAGCTGATGTGTGACTCAAAAGACAGAAGCCTTGGACACAGGGTTTCTAAAAGCCAAGGAAACTTACCTGGAACCTCCCTTAAACTGCCTTCCAGCACTTGTTGCAGACAATGCCAACTCAGTAGGCTCTGGCAGGTAGATGCTGCAGTTGCTGATCCTCCAACCCCACAAATCCTCCTGCTCTGCTTCCTTCCAAATCTGAAAGCCTGGGATCCTGTCCCTAGCCGATGCCTTATTATCTCTGTGACCTTGGGAAAATCACTTAACCTCCCAAACTCATTTGAAACATCTGCAAAGTAGGCCACGTAATAAAACTTCATAATGAATTTTCAGTGAAAGAACATACAAGCTCTTGGGACAGTGCCCCAGTGAGGCCATACCCAGCTGAGTAGTTGTGAGTTGAATCTGAATTCCACCCAGGCATCATGCATTTCCTTCAACACCCACCCCTCTGCCCAAATTCAAGCCAAGCCATGATGTGTTGGGAAAAACTGAAGGATAGAAGCTGCCTTACATAGAGCTCCATTTGAGCCAAACTGAGCTCAAAGCTGAGCGGTTGTCATGGTTTCCAGATGTGCACAATCAACAGTCACAACAAAGGGCCACCAAGAGCTCCCTTCATAGAAAGCAATACCCTCAGTCAGAGTCAGCTCTTGGGGAGTTCCCATGTGTGCATAATCCAAATTCCGATTGAAAAGGAAGGGGATAATCATATTTATAGTGTGCCTGGCACTGGGCTCAAGCCTCACGTTTGTCATCTCATTTAAGCCTTGCAAGCATTTTGCATTTTGTAGATGGAAAAAATGAGGCACGGGAGAGGTCTGTAACATGTACCTAGTGGCACACAGCCAATAAATGGCGACTCTGGGATTTAAACCTTGACCTGTGTGAGTCCAGTGCTGAGGCTTTGTTTGCCACACCATGCTGCCTTCTCCAGAGCCTGACATCAGAATGCAGGGAAGATATGATACTGATTTTCTTTCCTTAACCTAACAATATTTAGGCATCTTGCCTACAAAGATTGAACAGGAATTTGTAGTATCTAAGACAGGGCTCCAAGGTCTCTGAGACAAGTCACAGAGAGAAAATGCAATATGCTTGGTATTTCCATTTGTTCTTCAGTTCTGCTTCACTCCTCCTTGCTTTCAGCTCTGTGTACAAATTAGTGGGACGGGGCCAGCAGGTGGCATGGTGGTTAAGGTCACTGGACTCCCACATGGCCAACCGCAGTTCAAGTCCCGGATCTAGGGGCTTGCTTTCTTGGGACCAGCAGTTAGCATAATGGCTATGTCACTGGACTCCCATGTAATCGACCGCAGTTTTGAGTCCCGGACCCGGTGGCTTAAACTCATTCCGGGCACATGTGTATGTGTGGCCAAGGTCCCGAGAGGAGAATGGAGGAAAAGGGATTGCGACGTGGCCATCCCCCAGGGGGGGATTTCTCGCTTTCTGTCTGTCTGTCTCACTGTCTTTCTGATGAGCGCATGCGCCGTATAGCAAAAACCTCTCAAAAAAAAAAAAAAAGATAAAAAAAATGAGTGGGAAACAGTCTAAGCAAAGTGCCTTTTTATAGTGTGGTCAATGCAATGTATGTGAAAATCACCTTCAATACTTTAACGTCACTTTTCAAGGTCTAGTGAGACTGAGAGACCAGCAGATGGTGTAATGGTGACGTGGCTGGACTCCCACGTAGTCGACTGTAGTTTGAGTCTTGGACCCAGCGACTTAAAACACACTGGGCGCGTGTGCATGCATACCCAAAATCCTGAGAGGAGAATGGAGAAGAAGGAATTGTGGCCTGGCCCTCCCCCCTTGGGGATGATTTCTCACTTTCTGTCTCTCTCTCTGTCTCTCCAGTGAGTGCACATACTCTATAGTAAAAATCTGGAAACAAAACAAAACAAAACAAAAACTTTAAAAAAAAAAGGCTGGGGGTCAGCAGTTAGCATAATGGTTATGTTGCTGGACTCCCATGTAGTCGACCGTGGTTCGAGTCTCCGACTCAGTGGCTTAAAACTCACCCCAGGTGCGTGTGTGTGAATGTCCAAGATCCCGAGAGGAGAATGGAGGAGAAGGGATTGCAGAGTGGCCATCCCCCCTGGGGGGTGATTTCTCGCTTTCTGTCTCTCTGTCTCTCTCCGTCTTTGGGGGCAACAAACCCCTAAAAAAAAAACCCCCAAAAAAAAAAAAAAAAAAAAAAAAAAAAAAGACTGAAATGAAATTGACAAGGTGTCCTAAAAAAAAAAAAAAAAATCTCTGCATTTTAAGTGGGGTTTGTTTGTTTACTGTAGGGTTTGTTTCCACTCGAAATTTTTTGTATCACAATCTCCTAGGTAATATGTAATGCCAGTTGTTGATTATCTAAGAGGGGGAGAAGAGATGGCTATTTAAGTCTGGTCATGGAGACTTAACAGCTGGAAGGGGGTCAGGGAGAAGTATTGGAATTCCACAGCAGGGTCTGGAGTCAGTTGAGACCAAGAGAAAAGGACTCACATAGCCTGCTTATGCTGATTATTT